AATTTCTGAAGTGACACAAGTCAAAGAAAAAGAGGAGAGCATCAACCTTGCCCTCTCCTCATTTTGAACTTCGGGATCTCTTGGGCATGCACTCTTAGTCTAGCTTGCTCTGTCGTTTTGGGGCGGCTCTGGGCCAAGGGCTCATGGTGCTGTCGTTTTCGCCGGCGCAGGAGCCCATGGCCGCGCTGGCCGCTAGCTCAGCGACTCATGCTAAGCGGTCGATGGATTTGGGTGGCCCGTCTTTTTGCGAGTGGTGGTGTCCTTGTTGGGATCGGTTTAAAGGGGAACAGTGGGAGAAAAAAGAAACATGGTTTAGGGTGCCTCCCATTTTGAGACACGGCCATATTTACGCATCCTGACAATAAAAAGGCATTGACGACGTGTGTGGTGACAACGAAAGAGGTGCATCACTGATTCACATGCGTTTTGAAGGATGATGAAGTGCCGGTTGGAGACGACAGGCCCTGAAACCAAACGGCTAAGCACGTACCCTGTGGACATTTGCAGATCCTAGTTAGTTGAAGCGCAGCGCTTGAAGCGGCATGTTGCTGGAAGATTTGTTGCATACCTGTGGCACAGGCTGAGGCAAAGGCCATCGGAAGTTCCCATGTGTGCTACGACCGGGGTTGCCCTGCCACTTTGCCACGTCAAGCGGTGGTTTGAGTTATTAATTTTACCCACCCGACACCCTGCCAGGTTTGGGTTTGTTGGATTGAAAGTGGCATCCGCTCACGAGCTTCAGCAGCGATTCTTTCAGGCCGCTTCCCTGAGCGAGCCCACGCGCTCTTTGTCGCAGGCACGAAGCTGACGGATTTTTAACCATGTGAGTGGTCAGGTTGGTTTAAAGGGAACCGGGTTACGCCTGGCTTATAAGGGAACCCGACAGGAAAACCACAATTTGGGCGGTCCACCTACGTATTTTGACACTTGCCAGAGTTCAAAGCCTGCCCTTCAAAAAAGCAACACAAGATTCTCGGCGTGCAGCCTCAATGGTTGTGAAAGGTGTGATGATCCTTTTGGACCCTCAGTCAATAATTTCGGCAGTGCCCCAATCTAGCGACATGTGCAACCAAACGCGCGCTACATGTGCCAACAACATGTTTTCTCGGCACAAGGAAATGTCATCCGTCATTCAACACAGGGTTTGGTAATCAATCTGGCATGCCTGCTCCGGAACCTGGAACAAGGACCATTTTCCACAAGGGGATGTGACCAGGCACATCTCACCTGACATTTTTCTGGAGCCTCCGAACATGAGCGGCTTGCTGCACACACACTCGACCCTGAAGGAAAGTTTTAGGAACTTCAAAGATGCATTGTTGTTGTAGAACTCCTTCCCAGGCCACTGTTCATTCAAGAGATGGGCAAAGGCCACAATGTGCGGGGTATTGATCTTGGAACGCCCTTGCATAGCGTCATAGAGCAACCTTCATCTACTCTTGGAGGACGCCCGTTTCCAGGTGACGTCTTTTTAATCACGTAGCTCTCCGCCCGCATTCATCAGGCTTGACTGGACTCCTGTGTCAAAAGCACGGGGAGGTTCCATGTTTGACTGGCATGAGTCAAGGGGTGCGGTTCCAAGGGATTGTCAAGCGCCAGCGAGGCGGGGGAGGTAAAAAACACGGCTTCGGAGTCCTAAAGCGTGCTACCATGCGCCAGTGCTGGAAACCAGGTAACTTGGCCTGCCCAGTGCTTCCGGTTGCCTGTATAGTCGATAACCAGGTTGGTTAGCTACTATATTGGTAACTGGCTGGTAAAAACTGACTACAGGCGGCGGAACCGCCAATTGGGGATTGAGAAGCAGAACCGAAAATTCAAGCCTTGAGATTGGAGTCTCGTTCCTTCCTTTTTTCTTGGAGCCAAAGTTTGGTTCCTGGAAAAATGGGATTCGGGCCTTTTACCTGCCGGCCTTCCATCCGCCTTTGACCCGCTCTCCCCTTAGGCCCTAAGGACCAGCCGAGCAACGGGCCCATGGCTTGTCACAGTGTGTCTCATCGGAGCGAAGTGGCCAACAGTGTATCATTGCCACGCTTTAGGAATCCGGAGTTCATGTGTTCCCATTCAATGCCCGGCTGGCGCTTGGAAATCTATTGGGTCCTCCCTGCCTCATGTCGACCCGGTAGTCAGACCTGATCAATACGGTGAGCTATGAGCAACGAAGCGTAGGCTGATATCACCTGAGAATGGGTGTCCTCCAAAGGTCAAGCTCCATTGGACACAGAAACCGCTGGGCGCCTGTGCAGGTCATGGCAAAATGCCTGGCACAGGTGGGCGGGGCAGGACCTCGGGCTTTTTGTCTCTCCTCTCATTGCCGTATGGCTCAAAATAGGACCCCTTTTTGGATGTGTCAAAGGGAAGCGAAATGAAAACCAGCCACCTGAAGGGTCCCAATTTTGTCAAACAGAAAAACACAAAACAAGAAAACATGCTTGCCGATGTGTGTTTTTGTCGTTGCAGCCTGGAGGCAGGTACGAGTGTGTAGGGCTAATCCCTTCCCCCCAATTATAAAAGCCCCTGCCCAATAACATCATCTCTTCCAAGAAAAACATAGTAAGGGCCTGGTTTGCAGTTTTGTCTTGCCAGAGACCAGCCTAGCCGTAGCACAAAGCACGCTTTCCGTCCCTGGGTCAAAAGCCGCTCGCAGGATTCAATGTTTAAGAAAGGATTCAAAACGGATCAAGTTGGGTGTGGGCCTGAAAGAAATTGCGTGGTTTTCGGGGGCCCGCCGTATAATACGGCTCGCTCGGGGAAATCCCACGGATTTTGTCTTGGTTTCAAACTTGCCATTCTAAACTTGATATTCCGGGCCCTGGCGAGCCGGGGAGGATTGAAAAATAGTGTTCATTATTAAGAAAGTCTTTATTGTTAGGAAGGGGCTAGAGTCATCGGATGTCGCGGCGGCGTTGCAACAAAAAACTGGCCGGACTGGCAGCCCCAGAAGCTGCCAGGCGAGGGTTTTGTTCTCTGGAGGTGGTTCAAGCACATCGGTTGCGGCCGTCACAGTCAGTTGATCCAGGGTTGGAGGAGGCAACCATTCTTATTGGTTTTAGGTTGGCGCTATTGGTATGGAAAGATGCACAATGGTGAGACACAATGGTGAGAATGCGTTTTTCGGGTTGTGTAGACACGTTTGTTTTTGTGTGTTTTTTTGATTTTATTTCATTTTTTACAAAATACATTTAAAAGGTTGTTTAGAGTTGTGTTCTTAATACCCACTACCGGAGACATCTCTGCCTGGCAGGCCTTTCGGTTCGGTGGGGGTTTCGCAGTGACTCGCAGGTGGCAACTCCGGGGGCCTTGAAGTGACGCCGGGGACCCGTTTGCCCCGTGCCGGGCGGGCGAGGAGGGACCCCAAAAGGAACCCTCCATGCATCATGCCCATGGCCAAGAGAGAAAGAGAAAGAAGAAAAAGGAAAGAGGAAGACATAGAGAGAGAGAAAAAGAAAAAGACGAGAAAGGAAAAGAAAGAGGAGTCCTTGCAAACACACTTTTGGTCTGCTTGGTGCTTCGACAAAGTTGATCCACCGGCTGTCTCACGTGCAGAAACTGCCGCCGTGAGAGTTCATTGGGTGGCACTGAATCCGAATGCAAGGCTTTTGGGTAGCATTGTCTTGACAAGAACGCCAAGGCAGACTTTAACCCTGGCTTGTTTCCCCCCAGAACGAGAGCTCCTTACTGGGTCTATGTCTTCCTCGGTAGTCAAGTGGAACTCTGATCCCCTAACTTAGGGCTGCGTTTCAGGGCCACCCTCCAGCCAGAATTGACACAACTGGCTTGGTTTTGGATCCGCCTCGGGAATCGATATCGCTTGTTTCAGTTTGCTTCCAATTGGCCAGCGCCTTCTATTTTTCTCAATGGACAGCAAGGGGCACAACGCGTTGCTTCAACAGCCTCTGCTTTCAATCCCTGCTTCGGCAATTCAATTCATGTTCACCCTCACTGCACCCAGATGGGAACTATGGATAGCCGTGCGGTGAATTTGGAGAGCACGCTGCCGAAGCAGTGTTTTTGTTACAGGCCGCGTGGGAATAGCCTCCTACTACTACTACTACTACTACTACTACTACTACTACTACTACTACTACTACTACTACTACTACTACTACTACTACTACTACTACTACTACTACTACTACTACTACTACTACTACTACTACTACTACTACTACTACTACTACTACTACTACTACTACTACTACTACTACTACTACTACTACTACTACTACTACTACTACTACTACTACTACTACTACTACTACTACTACTACTACTACTACTACTACTACTACTACTACTACTACTACTACTACTACTACTACTACTACTACTACTACTACTACTACTACTACTACTACTACTACTACTACTACTACTACTCTACTACTACTACTACTACTACTACTACTACTACTACTACTACTACTACTACTACTACTACGACTACTGCGTCTACTACTACATCTACCACTGCTGCTGCTGCTGCTACCCCCCCAAAGGTTGAGACGTATCTTCATTGGAGGGTGGCCCTCTTGGCCCCTGAGTTCAGCAGAGCAGTTCATCCATCAGCCTGATGCCCGGACCTTGGTGCCGTGACACAAAGTCACAAATTCGATGCACATAGCCCCGCCGAGTTCCGAACCCGCCCCGCTCGCTCAGTTCGGATTTCCGCGGGCGTGCCGCTGCCCATTGCGAAACAGGACTTTGAATGACACCTCTAGAAGCGCATTGCGAGACCCTTGGCTCTTGTTTCAGTTCCGTGAGGTTTCCCAGTGCAGGAACTGTCGATGACCAGCTCTAGACGTATCATGGCCGATGGAAGTCACAGCACAAGGCACAAGGTGCTGGAGGGCTTCCAGGTAACAGCTTTTGCGGCAGGTAGGTCTCTTCGGCCGGGCACTTGGCAGTGGGTTTGAAGGTTCCCTATTTCACCTTGTCCCTTTTGTGGCAACTTCTTGTCCTGCACTTCTTCCTTGCAGCAGCTTAGATGTACAGCCCTTGCCATGTCCGCCGTCGGCTGCTCGAACTCAGAGCAGCCAGACCTTCACCGCGCAAGCGTGAAGAGCACAAAAAGTTGTTCGATGATTCTCATCACATGGGCCACGGGAATGGACACCCAGCATATTTTTAGTGCCCTCCAATGGAGGGTACTTGGCGTGTTTTTGAATCGAGGGCACTTAAGGCAGTGTCGGTGGCCTAAGTGCCCCTTTGATTCGTTTGCTAAGTGCCCTTTTTGGCTTGACAGGAGTTGGGATTCTGTTGAAATCGAAGAGCTACCCGTGTCGAAGCGTGACAACTGCCACATTTGATTAGCTCCGACCCGGAAAGCCCGAACATGGCTTTTTGAGTGTCAAAGCGTGTCATTTGAGTGTCATTGGGGGTGCGAATCAAGGTCACTTCCCCCTTGAAAAGGTCACTTACGCTAGTGTCGGTCCCCCCTGCGTGAGTGTCATTTGCGTGTCGCTGCGGCTCGATTTGCCCAGCATCGGTCCTGCCCCCGTGTGAGTGTCATTCGCATTCACGTGTCCGTGTCGCTGCGGCTCAGTTTGCCCGGGCTGAGGAGGGATCTGCTGGGGAGGGCAACCCTGAGGGTGTAAGTGCCCTTTAGATGGCTTAAGTGACCTCTTTGATTTTGGACTAAGTGCCCTTATTTTCAAAATGGATCATAGCACCCAAAAAATGAATCGAGGGCACTGAAAAGAAGCTGGACATTTGATTTTGCATGACTATGTCATTCAGCGATATTGAATCAGATGTGTTCCTGGGTTTTCCAGCGGCCCTGAGTACCGTACAGTAGGTCGAGAGAGTATCAACAAGCCGTTGCGCATTGATCCCATGTTCGTCTTCGAGACCAGCTGGGTATGTCAGTTTTTAGGCGCCCCCCTAAATGCTGGCGTTCCTTCTGCTTTCCATTTGAAGCCAGCCAAAAACCCAGCCCCCAGTCCCAAAACCGGGGAGCCCAGCTTCGCGTAACGCGAGGCTGGCTTGAACCTGCCAGGCGACCTGCAACTTCCATGCCTCCAAGAGCTTGGGCCGCCTGGCTGCTCCAAGCTCCGATTTCCCGATTTCGGCGGGGCGAGGTTCGAAGTTGGTTCCGAGCCTGGCCAGGTTTCTCAATGCGAGTTTCTGGATGTAGAGCCTTGGCTGGCAAAAACGTATGCCAGCCTTGGGTAACCGAAGTAGATGATGCCCTTCACTTCTGCAGCCTACCAGCGCACGCCGCGATCTTCTTTACCCATGCAACTTCTATAGACGTGGGTCGTGCTTCGAGATTCGATGTAAGCCACTCAGTCATCGGCAATTCTGCCTCAACTCCCCTGAGGGGTGCGTCACAGCCCCTGTGAATGAGTGTGTGAGGCAACAAACCCTTGTGAGTTTGCAGGGGCAATCTCTGTTTTGTGTGCAAACCAAATGGACAACCCGGGTCACACATAGAGCCTGTTTCCTTGGCCAACAACCAGCCCGGCGCTCACAGATGGTTGCATGGTTTTATGTTCGCTGGTCGGAAGATTGCCGCGCTCAAAGCATATTCCTTTGTATACCCTCATAGCAGGCTTTTATTTGCGCAGTGAGCTCCGTTTGAAGGGTCCTCCCTGTAAAAAATCTAGACAAAGCTTGGCTGAACTCATTTGGTTTCCAGAGAATTTAGTAGTGGTTCAGTATTGGGAGATTGAGGTTAGTTTTGGGGGTCGGCCGGAGGGGGTTTTATTGAATATTGGGTGTCCGTTCATAAATGGGAAGGCGGCATTGCCCTTCTACCCCGATAAAAAAAGCGGGTTCCCCTACTAAAATAGACAGAAAAAAAGTAGCCTTATGCTAACCTCTCTACTGCAGGACCTAGCTACATAACTGGCCCGTCAAAATTCGCGATCGCTCCTGGTCCCAGGCTCGGGCTGCTATGGGGCGGTCTACCGTGGTGAGCTCAAGGCGGGCAGCCGGCCTTCCGAGTGTCGTTTTGCTTTCAAGATGGCGAGTTCGCTTGAAATCAACTGGCCGTGGGTCAACACCAAAGGGATCCTATTTTGGGGGTTTTCGGTGTGCACCATTTTAGAGTTAGGGTGGGCCTTGCCCATCTTTTTGTGGTACCCGAGCGTGACCCCCACCCTACGCAACATCGGCATTTTTCAACCATTTTTTCACTATTCAAATCGTCATCCTTATTCATTATGCATATTTCCACTTAAAACATTTCATAACAGTCTCAACCTCAAAATCCATCAAAAAAGTCACATTTTCTCATTTTCTATTCCATCATTCTTGTCATTGTTAGGATGCTTGAGTGGAAATAGGAGTATAGGGTGGTTCATATGATATGGTTATTGATGGTAGGATGCATGGGCAAGGTTAAACTCATTCATTAAACAAATAAAATAAAATAAAAATCAAAAATAATATTGTTCAAAAAAGTAATATTTTCAAAAAATAATATGTTCAAAAAAATAATATCTTCAAAAAAAATAATAATTCAACAACTAAATTTTCAAAAAACAAAAACAAAAAATAATATTTTCAAAAAAAAGTAATTTTTCAAAAAATAAATTTTCAAAAATATTATTCCAAAAATTATGATAAATTATCTTACAATATTTTTATCATAAATTTTGTAGAAATATTATGGGCAAGGTTAGGTAGATAGAATTTTATAACTTAAGTTCAGGATAATAATTCAATTGATAACCATTAAATTGTGTATATATCTTATCTCTTTCATGCATCATTTTAAAAATAATATTAATATTTCTGACGGTATTTATCATTTACAACTACAATTACAACGACAACAATAAGGAATGATATTTTCTATTGTATGAGTTAATTCATGATCTTTTCGTTGTGCTGTTAGATTTGTAATGATATTACCATTTTTCATGTCCATAGAAAAACCGCATCCGCAGTAATTGCATTGATTATTTATATTGTCTAAAAACCACTGTGCATTTACATAACCTTCTTTAGGTATGGTTCTTTTTGCTTTCCTGTCCTGTTCTTTGTAATTTAATACTTTCCTTTCAAAATAACTCATAATACATTTTTGATTAAATACATCATCAATATCTTTTGTATATTTATAAAATTTAACTTTGTTTAAATCTCTACACCTTGTAATTGCAGTCCATATCCATTCTGGATAATTCTTTACCAAAAAATGGTTATAATCAAAAATTGTTATGGTATCATCAATGCTACTGCCTTGGGCAGAATGACAAGTTGAGCAATATGCAAATATAAAATTGCTTCTTATTTTAGCAACTTCTACGGATTGTAAAATTTCGGTTTTGACATTCTTTAATGTACATATTCCATCGCTTCCGATATGAACTATTTTATATTTGAAATTTACATTAAACACTGATGTTTTAGTTTTAGTATATTCCCTACATGTTAAAAATTCGCCTACTTCGTATTCATCTTTTCTATTTTCTAATTGTCTAATTTCATTTGAGACATTTTTACAAGTTGTATTTAAAAATGCTATGTTGTTGTTAGAATTGCTTATGTCAGTTGTATATTCGAAATATTGTTCAATAACTTTCATAATAGGTAATTTATTTTCAAAAATATCAAATTTAATATTTCTTAGTTTATCCTTATCTTCCTGTGTGTTAAGTCTCTTACATTCTTTTAACAAAATATTATATTCAAAAATGTTATCTATAATATTATCAGTATATAATTCATAGTCTCGAGTATTTGTTATCTCTTGAACTGGTTTTAATTGCTTGGTGTCTCCCGTTGCTATTATAATTTTGTTGTGTTTATTCTGCTCTACAAATTGTTTTATTCTCCAATATATATTTAAATTACTGAAATAAATTTCATCAAATACGATTACATCAAATTCTGTAAAATCAAATGGTTCTAATTTTGCATCGCCGTAGTTTATTCCAAAAAACTTATTTATAGTCATTGCTTCACCTTCGAATGCCTGTAATAATTTATTAGTAGGACAAATAAATATTACCTTATATTTTTTATCAACCATTTTTTGACATATATATGATTTTCCTGTGCCCGGTAGTTCGCCCCTGATCATAATAGGGTTATTCTGTTTAACAATCTCTATAATGTTATCAGTGTCGTATTCATCTTTAATATCAATAGTTTTACTTTCATGAACTGGTATTTTTATTAGATCATTCTTAACAACTTCATATTTTACAGTAGGAAGATTAATTTCATTGTCTCGCCCAGAAACTTTCCAACCTCCTATATCATTATGAAATTCTAATAATTGCTTTGCTTTCTCTACATTGTATGAATCAATTACAAAAGCATCGGTTTTCACACTATATACATTAATATCGTTGATTATTAATTTGTAAATGTCTTGGTTCATTTTAAAATTATGATGTTGCATGAGTAGTTCTTTAATATATCTATAGCCGTTTCTTAATACTGCTTTATCCTTTAATTTTAATATATAATATGATGCTTTTATATTTTCTGTATCTATTTCATATTTATACTCTTCTTCATACTCCTCTTTACACTCTTCGTCTTCTGTACCTATATGTGATAACCTATGAATTTTGCCCTCTATCTGTGATAACTTATGAATTTTGCCTCCGTATTCTGTTTGATAATGGATTGCTTCATCAATACTCTTAAACAAAATGCTTTGATGCGCGGTAGCCTCTCCCTTCTCTAATAATCCAAAATTGACATTTCCTATTAATTTTTTACTTAGTATATCATCATTTTTATCATCTTCATCTATAGTAGTTTTCCAAAGTTCATTAACCATATCCTTATAGTTTGTTTATGAATAAACGAAGGTTGTTTATAATATAATACTTTAATATTATATTAATTAATAAACTTTTTTAAAAACTTACCATAAACTAAATTATATTTTTTATTAAACATTAAGCCCTCTTTATTCCCCAGTAACGTTTTTGTCATTATGAATTCAACTTCTTCTTTTGATTTAAATTTTAAACTTTCCTCCAAAAGATGTTTACGTTTAATACGTTCCATACTGTATTTATTTGGTATATTCGGATAGTTAACTTCAATATAATATAATGTTAGATCGTGGAGTTCATCAATATTAATTGCATCATTGTATTCTTTCCAATTGTCAAACTGATTAAAAACTGGTATTTCAGTAATATCTATGAAACCCTTTGTAAATGCCTTATTTTCATCGATTTCAGTTTTACGCATTAAATTAAATTTATCCCATAATAATCCCGAAGGTGCTACAGTCCTTGTTTCGTTTAATATTTTTATATCAATGTCATCATAAAAAGATTTGTGAGATAAAATAAATAGAGATTTATTAAAATTAAACATTGCTTTATTCATATTGTTGTACATAGTTTCATTATTTGCTGCGATCCAACCATCGCTAGATGATTTAATTAAATGTTGAGTCTTTATGATATATGTTATCTTGTTAAATTTGACTTTAATTTCATCAATAATACCTGTGTATTTAATTCTGGGTTCATATCCAATATTTATCAACTGGAAAAATATTTCTGCCAAATCATTATCTTCGGGCACTAAATATACTTCCCTTGTTTTATCATCAGTTTTTATTTTGAGTATATCATCTATACATTTAATCATTTTGTATTGCGGGGGTTCCTCTCTTTCATTTATATAATAATCAGTGTGTGCCTTTATAGTGGGTAGTTTTGATATTACTTGTTTTTGTTGTATTTTGCTTAAATCGTGGTTTAATGTATAAATGTGGTTATTTTTTACCATAGCGTAAAATGTTTTAATATGACGGTTTCTTATTTTTGGGTTATATTTGTAAATAAGTTCATTTACGAAATTAAAAATTCTAACTTGAATATTAAACTGCTTAAATACTGCTTCCATCTCTTGAATGGTTGCTCCTACTTCCAAAAATCAGTCCTACCTATGATTTCAATAATTTTATCTCTGGTTAGTCTGTTGCGGGTTCTTTCATTCATGATTGTATCACTGTAAAAATCAGTTAATGAATTTATCCAACATTCATTTTTAATATAATTGCCTTGTTTAATTGCCTTTCGTATAGTGTCCTCACTCATTTTTAAATGTGTATATATATATGCATGGAAAACGGATACGTTAGATGCATCTCTTAAATTTTCTGCTAATATATCAAACTTTTCACCTGATTTATTCATCATCTCCACGGACAATATTTTTATACCATCTAAGCCATATTCCTGATTTTCTAAATGTTCCATGTGTTTGGCAAACTCCTCGTCGTGTTTCATTATTTTTATTATTTTTGTAAATTCTGGATTTATTTGTTCCGTCTCTCCAAAATCAGTATCCATCGAAACACCTGTTTTTTTCAAAATTCTCTTGCGGATAAATTCCTTAGGAAATTCTTCTTCTATGTCAACTGTAGCACTTAATCGCTCATAGTTCCAAAGATAATAATACTTACCAAATGCTTTAAAAGCGGGTTTTGATTTCATTTTCTCCTTATCACCAATTATATAAAGGTCATACATAACAAAATATGTATTTCTCTTCTTCCTTCCTCTTTTCTTATATTCTTTGCCTTCTTCTTCTTCCTTCTTCGATCTTGTTTCTGTCATTCTTTGATTTAGTGGTTTTGTATCCTTGATCTTTTTGATATTATCTTTGTATTTTTGAAATGCTTTGTCATAAACCTTTTTATCAGTAGATGTTAAACCTTTGATATAATTTTCTGCAGTTGCTACATTTGATAACTTCCTTTCAGTATAAAGTTTAACGATCTCATCAACCCTTTTTTTAGTTGCATTATTTGCGTTCTGTGTTGAATTTCTTTTGAGTTTATTTAACTCGCTGATATTACGTTGTAAAAACTTACTCATACTATAATCTATATATTTATATTATAAAAATATTTCTTTAAATAACTTTTTTACAAGAAACCTTTTTATAATAAAAATTCTATATACTTTTTTAAACTTTTAAAATTTCAAATCTTA